GTCACACCAGCATGACTAGCAGGTCACATGGCATTTGTGTAACAGTTACATGACATTGTTATTTGGAACAAGCTCTGTGGTTACATGAAAGAATACAAACTGATACTAGGCAATGCAAACCTACAATAAGTTCTTGTGGCTATGTAAATCATAGGAACTAATAGAAGAAAGATGGAAGCCTACTTGGAAGACTCAAATAGAAAGGTAACCCGAGCTTTTGATGGTGCTACTGTAAAGACTAGACTTATAAAACAGAGCTAGAACTTGTAAAACTAGGCAAATGTGCCAGTCTTTAAAGAGAGACCAGATGAACCAACCAGGCCATCAGAATTTCCAGGTTCTGGAGAAAAAGAGTACATGCTGGCAAACATGTAAACCAGAGGTGTATGGTTTTGATCTACCTTTCTAGACTATCTGAAATAGCAGCTTGGTAGTATTTAAATTAGACAATGACTAAAGTTGTATGAGTGGCTAGTTGTATACTCTTTCCATAATTGTCCTCTGTGGTTGTAAAGCAATTATTAGTCAAATATACTATCAATAAAATCCTAGATCACAAGTACTCACCTTAATATTTTAAAAAAAAAAAAAATTTAAATATTATAATATTTATCTATTAGTATCTAACTTTCTTATATTCATACTTTATACTTTTTTATTTGACAAGCTTTCATTAATTTTATTAACTTATATAATATGTATTTAGTTTATTTTTTATAAAGTTACTATATAACAAGATGACCTATTTAATAATCTTGTTAGTTAACTTATCTGCAATTATTAAATACTACTCTTTTTAATATATTTAAATAATAACTTTTATAATCTGTTTATATTTCATTTATTAACTAATTTTCTATTAAGATCTCTATTTAATACTCTATTTATATTATTTGTTAAGCTTATATTATAATATTTTGAATATTTTAACATTATTTTTAATAATAATTTACTATATTATCTAATATTAACTAAGAAGCCACTTAAACTTTATATTAATAATAATCAAAAAATTTCTAATTTTGCTTACAACTTTATTCTTTTATTCTAAAAACTTTTTATATTAAAATTCTTCTAAATAAATTATCTGTTTTTTATATTTTTTACAAATGTAACTTCTCTTATTCTTCTTCTTGTTATTAATATAATTAATTTAATTTTTTATTATATTAAATTATTTAAACTTCTATCTAAATTATCTATTACTTAGTCTTTAATTCTTTTAATTACAATTTAAATGCAACTGCTTTTAATATGTTCACTAATCTTGTTTCTGATTTGTATAAAGAAAATTTTATATTTAACAGCTTTAAACTACATAAGTTTTTATATATATTATTTCTTATTTTTATTTTATCTAGTTTAGTTTCTATTAATCTTATTTTTATTATTTATAATATTTTTATTTCTCATAATACTACTATTTCTTTTTTTATTAAACTTCTTCTTTATTTTATTTTTTTTGATATTAAAATGATCTCTTTGGTCTTTTAACTTTTATTAATAACTTTTTTAGTAATATGATTCAATAAACTATTACAAAAGAGTATACAATTAGCTACACATATAACTTTTTTATATTATTTATTTAAGAAGTTTATTTAAAGATTTTTACTAATTGGCATATCTAATATTTCTGCTTAGATGTTTTACTTTAAACTCTTTAAACCTGCAGTCTGTATTAATATTACTAAGTTATATTCAGATACTCAGATCATTGTCTCAATCTTAGAACTATTTTATCTTTGAGATAAATCTCTTAGAGCTTTCTGTACTTATTTTTATAATTGATCCAATATCATTATAACAGAATCAATACTTGTAGTCAGAATTATATTATTTAACTGCTATATTTTTGTAGAGTTTATTCAAATCTTAGTATTTACTTTACAGTATAACTCTAGTACTTTAGTATACCTCTGTCTTTTTACTAGATTTTTAATTCAAATAGTCTATATAGAACTATAATTAGTTTATTAATATATTAGGTTAATTTAATAATCTTTTTTTCAATTTATTTAAATAGTCTGGTTAGTGATATCTCTGAGACTCTTAACTCAGAAGCTCTTGTTTATTTGAGTATTATGATCTTGATATCTGTTTTTTTAAACTAGTTTTTATAGTAAGATTATTAAAAATCTAGTTATCTCTCTATTTAGATCTTTTTAAATAAACTTTTTGTTATCTAATTTCAATAGATTTATATAGTTACAAGAACTTATCTAATGTTTGTATTGCCTGATTGTCAGTTTGTATTCTTTTGTATAATATCATACTTATACAGATGTCCTATAACATACTAGTCATACTAATGCAATCATTATTGCATATATTCTAATTTAATTATTAGTAATAATTGTTATAATATGAATATTATATAAGTAATTATTTAAATTTTTACTGTCAATAGAATTTAAACACTCAATTTATTACTTGAAGGTTGACAACCTGATTACTTTACTAGATTGTTACATCTTCAAACTTCTTTTTTATTTAAACCAATAAATATATAAACAAATATAAATTTTATATTGTATTTCATATTCTGTATAGTCTCAAATTATATCTTTTACTAATTTATAAAATTTTTTTTAATCTATCTTTCTATTTCAATATTACAAATTATTACTAAAATTGATTTTTGGATTATTCAATAAATTAAATATTATATCTCTTTCTTTTATATTATTATTAACACTCAAATATAGGTAAGTCTTAATCATTCTTGTAAGTTTAAGTTATAGATTATATATTTGAGTCTTTATTCTTTATATGTAATTTAAAAACAAACTTTTTTTTGTAAAAATTTTAATTGAATTTCAATAAAGTTAAAAGCATAATCTTATCTTTAATATTTAAAAAAAAAAAAAAATTGCAAAAAACAAGTATTAACTAAAAAATAATAAAATTAATATATATTGAAGTTAATACAGACTGCAAGTCTGAACCTCTTTACTGAGCAAAACAGTTTATTAACAATGTTATCCAAAGTGTTGACAACTTTAATCATAAGTGTTAACCTTAATTATAACATATAAAATGTGCAGCAAAATGACATAAGCACTGTTAAAAGTAACTATAAAAAGTTAACAATTTGTGTTAAATTCTTATAACCTAAATTAGATAATAAAATAACTTTGTAAAAATATATACAAAGACCTTTTTCATCCACTAAAATTGAATAAAAATCAACAATTCTGCCAAGTTTAAATATATATATATATAATTTTAAAAAAATTATTTATTAATTTAAAACTTTAATTAGCTTTATAATTTACACATAATATAACTTATATCATGTTTCATATTATTGATTATAACCCAATAAACACACATACCAACACTTTATAAATAATATATATCTGATATAAATAATATGAAATTAAAATTATGTAGAATTACGACAATGCGACATGAAGTATTCAGATGTTATGCTATAATTAATTCTATCATAAGCTACAGTGCCACAATTCAGTAATTTAATGTTAACTATATGTATAATTAATCTCCATTATAGCCTAATCGGCGTAATAATTGTAGCACAAGTTTCATGAATTCTGTATATTGTTCTTGAGAAATTTCATCTTCACTAAAACGTGCTCTTTCATAACATTCTACATAAGCATGTCCTAAGCCGCGATCTATGGCTCTATGTTCAATCAAGAAATCAATGTATCGTTGTACGGACATTGAAGGCAGTCTTTTTAAGGATAGGTTTTTTAAAGCATTTTGTTCTTTAATGTAATCGAAATTTATTAGTAAAAAGAATTTACATGTACTTTGATAATAAGAATTCTATTCTAACCTATGAGAGAAAATGTATCTATCATCGATGATTTGAAATGAATCTCATCGTAATCGGAACCTTATTATTTGTTCGTTATTGATTTTTCAACTCTGAGCAAAATTTGTTAACAATGTAAGGATTATGCAAACCTGGTCGGCCCCATCCTGGTAGGTCAACATCTTCGGGCTTCGGTTCACTCGTCCAAGCAATCATGGACACATGTTTCAATTCATCAGTAATAAGATTAAACACAGACTGTTAGAATTGTTGAAGGTTAATAAAGTTAATAAATAGGAAGATATAGTATAGGACTATTTCTTTGATGAAAACTAACATTGGGTAAATTATTCTGTTTAATTGGCATATAAGGTTTTGGAATATTAGCTAAAGCCTTTTTTACGTGGTTCAGACGACACCATCCAAGTAAGACAGTAACAAAGCCCTATAATACGAAATTATAACTGAATATGAATAAAAAACCTTTTTATTTGAATCAATAAACCTTTTGTTTACATATTACCGTAAGAAAATAACTTCCACTGGCAATATAAACATAGGGATAATATCCCCTAGTCTTGGCATTGTATATTATATCATATGCGGAAATTCCAAGTGCTATAATGGTTAAAAATGTGAGAATAAACAATGAACTAGTATATAAGCAGTCACCAACACCCACTACCATCTTAGCAACAGAAACGAAAGTCAATATCAATATCATGGTTAGACAAAATTTAATTTTTATAAGTTCTTGTAAATATAATCATGCAATAGTTGTAACACGACAGATTGTGTCCAGGAACCGGAAAAATTCGAGATGTAAATATTACTGTTGATGGGCAGAATTTGAGACATTAGGATTTTAAAAAACTCAATAACTCAAAATTTTATTTAAGCAGCTATCTAAAAAAAAATGGTTGGATTTATATTTTTATTAATTTTTGACACATATATGCTTTTTAAGCTAAAATTGAGAACGTTCCGAGACGAAACAGAATAAGAATGAACAACTCAAATGTATGACAAATGAATTGGATGTGCCTTTTATTTTTATTGCAGAATTCCGGTATGCTGTGAAAAAAAAAAAAAAATCACACAATACAATAATATACAAAGATTTATAAATATATAATTATTTTCAATGGCTTTAAAGCCAATATATTATTATGCTTTTATATAAATCATTCTCAATAATGATATTTTTCTGAATCGGTTAGACATCGGAAAGAATTCTCTTGAGTTCTTTCTTTTTATCTTCAGTTAATCTTGAAGGGAACATAATTTCATATTTTACAATTAGATCGCCTTTTTTATTCTGATCTTTTGTCGGCATTCCTTCATTTGGAACCCTCTGCTCTTGACCCGGCTTTATAACTGAGCTGCTTGATATATTTAGAGTTCTACCATCCAGTGTTTGGATTTGTTTCTTAAAGCCTACAAGAGCCTCTAGTAAAGATAATTTTATGACAACACGTAGATCATCATTGTCACGAGTAAATATCGAATGCGGTTTTTCATTTACAACTACTACAATATCTTGTGTTTCACCAGATGGTAACTCATCTCCAGCTTTACTATATCGGAATTTTGTTCCAGCTTTTAACCCTGGTCTAACATTAACTTCTATGATTTTATCTGTGGGAATTTGTTGACCCGATGCGCTATCATATAATTTTCGGGAGACTTTGAGTTTTTTTGTAATTCCTTTATATAGTTCCTCAAGTGTAAAGGGTAAATGATGTTTGACTTCAGATGAACCTCTTCCCTCGCCACGAGATCGACCGAATATGTCACCAAAATCACTTGCAGATCGACCTCTCGTAAACGAAGTAAATTGACCAAAAGGATCATCATCGTCAGCACTTCCAAACTGAGAAAAGAATTGGTTGAAGATGGAATTTGGATCAGTAGGGGTGAAACCACCAAAACCGCCGGGACCTTTAGATAAGGGCAATGAGTTATTTAACAGCAAATTCTCACTAGATAAAAAATAAAATCAAAATTATTTTTATTTCCTTAATACCTGTTGTTTTAAATGTAAAGGTGGCACCACCGGGACGAAAACCTTGAAAACCGCCGGGAAATGCACCACTCGCATCAGGCGGGGGAGCGCCTTTCAAACCTTCTTCACCATATGTGTCATAAATTTGGCGTTTATTTTTATCGCTAAGCACTTCATATGCTTCACTAATTTCTTTAAACTTTTTTTCCGCAGCCTCTTTATCTGCACTACCTTGATGTCTATCAGGATGCCATTTTAGAGCTGTTTAAAAACAGATAATTAAATAAGTTTGTGCATAGTAATGAAAAATGAAATGGAATTTATGAAGCCAAACTTACCTAGCTTCCTATAGGCTTTCTTAAGTTCTTCCTCGTCTGCGTTTTTATCGACACCAAGAATTTTATAATAGTCTTTACCCATTTATTATAGTTTTTTTTTTTTTATAGGCAGTTTTTTTTTAAAAGATTTTGATTTTTTAATAAATTTCAAGAAATAGTTTTTTGCAAAGTATTCGTAGTGATTAATTATTATGATTTAAATAGTTGTTTAAAAATGTCAAAAATGTCATAATTAGCAAAAATTACTTTTAACTAGAATATTCTTCAATGCACTGGAAATCATCAGATTTACCACGATCAATTTAAAATCGCATGGTTTAACTAATGTGATATCAATATCGAAATATAGTGCAGGTCATAAATGATCACTAATCAAGATTTTTTTAGAGTATTGCAGATGTTAATTTAATAATACTGTAGTAAATACATATAAAGCTCAAGCTGTAGTTACTCTTGAACCTGCAAACCCACACAAACAAAATTATATTTATCAGGTTCGTTATAATGTGCTCTAAAATTCTTGTTTTTGTTATATTTTTAATAAAAATATCAAAAATGTAACTATTGCATATTGTTCCACAACATGTAGAAAAATTCAAAAGTTACGTTTTTGATATTTTAATTAAAAATACATCAAAAACAAGAAATTTATCCCCTGCTCGCGTTGTTATATTTTAAACAAATAATTTTGTTTGCAGGTTCAATCATCATCATCAATTATATTAAGGGGATTGCTACTGACACAGCCTATCGACACAGCAAATGACCAGCACTAACCTTAACGACACAGCATGGCCTGCATTATAGTTAAGGTTAGTGTTAGAATATGGCAGAATTAGGGGAATTATATCATCCCCTATATTAAAATTGTTGGATAAACTAAACGTTACACCCACGTGAAAGTTCACGTGGGGGTAACGTTTAGTTTATTCTATATAAATAATTTTCAAATTGTGTAACGATAATGCAGATACAGATATAGCAACGGGATTAGTGATCAACTAAAATTTAGGGTAGGGTCAGAATAACCCTGATGCAACAATACCAGCCCTGAAAATTATCATCTGGCTAGCCTTACTTAGTACGTGGGCTACCATTTTTATTAGTAAATTTTGGGGAAAATTATCAATTCCAGCCTATTTCGACTAGAGATGGGCAAGGTAATAATGTAAGTAATAATTACTTATTTTTTTACCCAGTACTTAAACTTACGTATTATTACCAATGATTGTTTATGATGCATGATTATTACTTATTACAATTTTCAAATGTAATCTGGAGAGTAAAATTTTAAACTCAATAATTTTGTTGTTCGGATTGAATTTTGCATCTTTACTTATTATTATTTATTACGCAAAAAATTGTCGGAAATATTTAAAAATAATAAGTAATAATATGTTAAATTACTTTGCCCATCTCTAATTTCGACCCTATTGCGGACTTAAGATTAATTTTGACTAACATTAATCTTAAAACAGTAGACTGTATTTACGAGAAATTATGGCATATCAGTATAGTATAAGCTCAAATTAAACGCTATACTATACTGACCAGTAACCATAACGCTAATATATATAACACCCGGGTTTATGGGCGTTCTTTATCTTTATCAATTATAGAACATACTTCATCGCTAAACCACTAGCTGCTCATATGTTGCATTTAATTTTCATCGTATTTATATTATGTATTTTATACATGTTACGGGCCAAATTGATTTTTAGGTCAAGTTAAACTTGATCCAGGTCAAATTAATCAATTAAAAAACCTTGCCCGGTATCTAATCCTTAAATTCTATTAGGGACCTGGATCAAGTTTAACTTGTCCTAAAAACCAATTTGATCTGTAAAATATGTAGTTAATTATAAATATAAACTGAAAAAAAAAATTTTAACCAGAAGCGAAGCGACAGGTAACATCTAGTCTCTATTATATTAAAATTGTTGGACTTTTACGTGGGTGTAACGTTTAGTTTACTCTATATAAATAATTTTTCAATTGTTCTGTAATACAGCATGATGATCTGTATACCATATTCACATTAATGATCTACTTTTAAGTTAATGATGATCTCTAATTAGATGGTAGTGTAACATTGTATCATGTGCATTGTATGTTAATGTAACATCTTATTATGTTTATGTTCTATATATTAAAACCACTTATTGTAAAAATTCAGTTCTAGTTTTTTTTTGGCATTTTTGCTTGATTAGTTCACATTTTTGTTTTCTGAGAATAATTTAATATAATAGATATTTTCTTTTTTTTCTTTTTTTTTATACCTGTAAATTATGTTTGAGACTTCTAAAAAATAGAAAAAAAAACTTCAACATGAACATCAACAATGTTATTAAGAAAATAAAAAAAGAAAGATGACTGCTGAAACTAATAGACTTACATAATTAGAAAATATAACAAGTTTTCATAATGAAATCACTAATAATCTACCTTCTTTACTAACTTCCAATATTAGTACAAATCTTAAAGCTGAAGTATCTATTCTTGTAAATCCTCTTATTAATACTTTTCTGATATCAGTTCGAGTTTCTATTTATGTTAGAGTTCCTTTATTGAAAGCATACATTTATTCATAATCTTTACAAGAATTGAACTATTACTCTTTAAAAAATATAGATCAAAGATATTTTAATTATAGAGTTTTGTTATAGATAGATGAAAAAAAAACAAGCTTTTTTATATATTTACTAATTTTTAGAACATATTGCACAAAAGACAAAATTTCACTTCTTTCTTTACAAGAATTGTCTTTTTTTTTAAATGCACTTCTTACTAGAATAGATTTATCTGCCTATTTATTTAAACAGAATATTAAAATATATAACTTTGCTTTAGTTTTTATATCAATAGGAGCTAAGATTGATCATAATATAACAGAAACTGCTAGAATATATAGTTTTTGTTTTTATAATAAAATGTATCATAATATAAGTAACATATTGTCTAAACACAATATAAGCTCTTAGTTTACTCAAATCTATATATATGATATAGAATATGAGTTTCAAAACAGAATGAACATGATGCCTGGTCTTGATTCATCAATTTTTGCAGATTTTCAGCATATGTTACATAACCTTAATCTATATAGTAAAACATTTAAATAAGTTAGCCAAATTTTAAAATCTAATTTTTCTTTAGATTTAAAAATAATAATTATAAATAGTAGAATGAAAGATCTCAGATGATATAATACTCTAAGTGCTACTGAAGTTGCTATTATTATGATTAAAAATAGACAAAAACCAGAACCATTATAACATAATATTGTTTTATATTTGTATAAAAAAAATTTTTAATGAATATCTGAGTTATACTATGTTTATAAACTACTATACTATGTTCTCATGTTTCTCAAAGGTAATAATAATTGGTATCTGTATATTCTCAAGTATAATACACTTTTTGTATTAACTATACAGGAACCTATATTTAATAATAACTTTTTACACAGCTTAGGAAAACAGATAAGTTCTAGAAAATATATTACTATGATAAATTATTTCACATATTGCCTTTATTTTGGCTATCTATATGAAGCAATAGTTTTGCATTTGTTTGGATATTTATTTCAATAGTAGATAGTTAATACGTATGCAATTGTTAAACAAATATGCCTCAACTATCTAAGACTTAATTAGAAAAAATTTGATAAGAGTTATATAGTAGATTACAAAATATACTTTTTACAAGAAATAGATTATTAGAAGTGACAAATATAGAGCAATATGTAATTTTAGCATCAAGTTTTACAAAAGACTCTTGACTAATACACCAACTTTATTAAAATGCAATGGCAATTGTAAGAGCATTTAGTAAGTTTTATTTATTTATTATGATAACCTATAATCTACAATGGCTTAAAAAATTACTAATTTATTTCTTTCAGGTTAATCTGCTTAAGATCATCCTAATTTAGTTATTAGAGTTTTTAATTTGAAACTAAAAGCTTTGCTTAAAGATCTTTTAACAAAATCTATTTTTAGCAAAGTATTAGCTTATATTTATACAATAGATTTTAAAAACATGGCCTATCTTATGCATATTTACTAATTATTTTTGTTAGCAAATATAAGCCAAGAACAATTGATGATTATAATTCAATTATATCTGCTGAGATTCCAAACATAAATAGTGATCCTTATATTTGAAACTATTAAACAATCAATGATGCATGGTTCCTGTAATGCACTTAATCTAACTGCCTTATATATAAAGATAAAAAATGTACTAAAAGATATTCAAAACCTTTTTAAGAAACTGCTACAACTAATAATGCCAGTTATTCTATATATAGATGAAAAAATAATAATTGTATACTAGAAGTTCAAGAAGCAATATTAAATAATTAGTAGGTTATTCTATATAATTCTTATCTTTCTACTAAATATCATTGCTATATAAATATTGAGATTTGTTTATTAATTAGTGCTATAAAGTATCTTTTTAAATATGTTTATAAAGGTTACAATCATGCTACTGTTTATTTAACAAATCAACTACAAAAACAGAAACATAGAAAAAAAAAAGTGAAATAAGTTTATACTTTGACACATGCTATGTCTCTGCCTCTGAAGCTTTTTGGCAATTATTTCACTATTATTTATATGATAGAAGTCCATCTATTATTCAACTTCAAGTTCATCTTTTAGGCCAATATAGAATTATATTTAAAGATGATAACACTATAGAAAAAATAGTTGATTATTACAATAATGAGAAATCTATACTTATTGCTTAGTTTAATGCTAATTTGAAATATTCTAAAGCAAGAAATCTTACATATGCAAACTTTTTAACACAATGGATTTATAACAATCAAACTTATAAATAGAAACTAAGACACTGCAGAAATCTTATTAGTTATATGTATTTCATTTACCCTTTATCAGATGAATGATATTATTTAAGACTTTTTCTTATTATCATTATATGTATTACTTCTTTTTCACACCTTCATACTGTGAATAAAATTTTATATCCAACTTTCAAAAAAGCTTAAGCTGCTTTAGAACTAGTCAATAATGATGATAAATAAAATTATTGTTAAGCTGAAGTTGTTCA